CCACAATGAAGCAAATAAGGTTTCTATTTCTCCTTCGATAATTTTTACATTTGTCTCCTTTCTATTGATACTTTGTTTGATTAAAATATTAAATGAATGGACTAATTCCGTCTCGTTGGTTTCATACCGTCCAGTATGCAGTTAGAACAAAAAATCGCGTGACCGCGGGCCGCATGCCATATGCATGCGGGCCATAATGCGCAAGCATGTAATAAGGGCGTTATTTTCATAATCTAAGAATAAATTGGCAATTGAATTGGGGTTGTATGGCAATGTAATAAGGGCCGTCGTAGAAGGACAACCGAACTTAGGAATAGTTCATGCCATTTCAGGGGGCGCAGAAAGGCGGCTCACGTTGCTTCGGCCTCTTATAGAGCCCGTGGAATCATAAATTTCAACGAAGTGGATATTATTTTTGACACGGGTAGTCGAGGCTCACGTTGCTTCGGCCTCTTAGAGCCCGTATAGTTAAATAAAACGCTTCACAACATGAAATTCAAAGACACTTGGAGAGCATTTATGCCGTCCCCCCCCCCTTCGGGATTTTCAGGGAATTTTTGTCATTCATCACGGTGTTNCGGATACACTCAAGGGTGTTGTATCAGCAGTATTAAGTGGCTTATCAAGGAGTCCTGTGAAGAGTTTTTGCCTCTCCCTGGGAGAATTCACAAGGAGGAATTTCGGGATTTTTCGAGGCAACCCGGACGACCGCCCAAGAGATGGGCACAGAGCTGCCTTTCATCCCCGGAGAATTAACCCTCTCTCATCGCCATTATATGTTATTTGTCATATTTATTTTTAATTATTCGTATTTATTTATATATTATCATATTTGTCATATTTATCTATTTATTATCATATTTGTCATATTTATTTATTAATTTAGAGGCTAGACAAACAGGGTCACGGCCCTAGTCAAAAGGTAGACGAAGAGAAGATGAATTTCGGGTGAGAAGTTATTCCTACAGGAAGATCGAATCGAAGACAAATATGCAGATTTTTCTTTTCCGCGTAAATCGTATTCGTGCCTGAATCCTGCGAGGAGAGGTTTCGATCCTCTAGGGGTCTTAATTTTCAGGCAGGATAAATGAGCGACTTTGTGGGACAAAGTAGAGATGAAACTGGATGACAATTGGTGCAGAGCCAGAATGCAGGAAAAATTTGACGATTTGACGAAATCAAAGTCCACCCGAAGATAAAAGGATGTGGTGTATTTTAAATGTAGAGACAAGGAAGACTGAGCAGATTAAGACGAGACCGGCACGGCGACGGAAATTGAAACAGCAATCTGTGCTTGTTGCGCGCATGGTGGATGTAGAAATTACATGACACACGGTTCAGTTCCTGTCAACGGTATGCCTTCGGATATTCATATGAATGTAGAAATGTGCCCTTGTCCCACACTCCTCGTGAAGAAAATAACACGACATTTATCAGGAATCAAACATTTTGTCTTATCAATGATTTTAACTTTAATTATATGAATGTTTTATTTTATTTAATTTGATATTTAATCTCGGAATTGCTATGTAATTGCCTTTACCATGTAGATCCTCACTTGGCTTATTTAGTTGCTTTGTAGTTTCTTTCATTGTAGTTTTGCATGTGTTGCTTATGTAAGCCCTGATGATGGGACCTGGGGTCTCGAAAAGCTTCGGCATGTAAGTAATTTAATTATACATAAAATGAATAGCATCGTGGTTTGTCTTAAACTTATTTTTATTTTAATTTTAAGTTTTACCATAAATATAAATTATCAGGAATCATCCGAGAGGAGACTGCCGAGAAGTTAAAACACGTACAGAGTACAAAATGTAGAAAATCTGATGTTAGAAATGCGCCAATTGAGTTCTTTCAGAGCAAAAATCTTGCTAGAATAAAATCCTACTCGGCTCACAAGAAGTTGCGCAGCAATATTGACCATCCTCATGTCTTTGAGATAATAGTTTTACCAGGTTTGCTTACTCAAATTCCTAATGTGACTAAAGAAACGCCGATAGTTTAATGAAAAATAATCTGCATGTAGACGCAATGTTCGACCTCCTAATGTTGCCGAGAAGTCAGCTTTCGACTAATGAAGAGCACCATTTTATACGACCAGTGGGGGAGCCCATTTGCTCAATCGGTCTTCTACCTTCTCAAACTCCAATAATCGCCGTCTTACAACTTCAAGCCGTTCCAATGAATTGGTTACTCCTCCAATTTCAAAGGTCTCTTCTCAAGGAGAAAATCTTGAGCGTATTTTTTCACACCCAGTCTTTAATCGTCGTGTCACTTCGGACATAAAAACAGTTCAAATGGTCTCCTAACAACAAATTCAAACTTAGCGGGTTTTACATGTATGTAACTCTTGTGATGGTTTACCTATAGGCAAAAGGCACATTTGGCCAATTTTGTGTGGCGTCAATTTATACGAGGGAAAGAAATATATGCATGTATTTTCGGTTGGGGTCTACGAAGGAAATAAAAACCCCGTTACAGCCAGTGATTTTTTAAGGGACTCAACCGTCGAATTAAAAGACTTGGTAACAAATGGCATAGTTGAAGGTGATGACCATTATGAGGTGAAAATTAAAGTTTTTGTGGCAGACGCACCTGGCAGATCTTTGATGCAAGGCATTAAGGGCCACTCAGGGTATAGGAGCTGCCCACGCTGCAAAATGGTCGGAACACAAGTAAGTGGCTATCCCTTCTGATGATTCTGAGCAGGTTGGGTCCCAAAGTTTTAGAGGAAGGTTATCAAAAGCGCATGTTCAGAATTATTCCTCCAGACGATCCAGCGAGGAAGCAAAGGGGCAACAAAGCCATGAAAATGGGGAAAAGAAGACAGAGAAAAGGGGTGCGGTGCGTTTCTTGGAGACGGATCCACAAGAACCGCGGACGGACGAAGAGGCCGCAGACCCAACCGTCAGAGATGCTGATTTGGCCAACAGTTAAGAATTTCGAGAAATTGATTTCTGGATATTAGTGTAATTATTTTTATTTTTTATGAAACGAAAATCAGACATTATTAAAGCACAGAGAAATTAGATAAATGTTTCACATTAATTTATGTATTGTGTTGCATTCTGTAAAGGCAAGAGCTGTGTGTTCTAAGGAACAAGAATGAAGCATTTCAATATTTCCACCGTTGACGCAAGCTACTGATGCATGTCGATAAGCGACGCGTTACTGGTTAATGAAACAGCAAAAACTTGTTGATGTGCATGATGGAGGGAATTCAAACCCCCAACCCCAATAGCACTAGGATATTCTTAATCAAACATGAGTTCCAGAATCTTCCAAAAAAATGAAATGCTGCAGTCGACCCATTTTTCCAGGAAGTAAATGATAATTCACCTTCCGGGGAATGCTGGTGGAAGAATAATTACAACCATCTATTGAAGGAATTCTTCCCGGTTTAGGTAAGTTGTGAGAGTACGTACACGTAAGTAGGCAAAAATGTAGGGACTTGATCAAAATCAGCCTAATTGCATCCCTGTGGCCTAATTTTCTCTCATGATTTATTTTTTCAACAGAAAACGTAACCATATACTTAACGCCTTTAAACCCTCTGTGGATATACCTTTAATTACGATGAATGTCCTCACAAAAATGTCATAATACCGCAGTTTGGGGTACCCCACTTGCAATATCAGATTAAATACTAATACACATGCGTCATTTTCATGAACAAAAAATTTGCGAATCATGACACTCAACAAAGTTTTAGAGTCCTTGTTGGTCTAAAGCTTTTGTGAAGTTATTGTCTAAATCTAAAGCTTTTGTGAAGTTATTGTCTAAATCTAAAGCTTTTGTTGTCCGTCTTCGTCTCTCACTCAGGTTCTTCTAGCCCCGAATTTACTCCTTCTCGCTTTCGCTTCTTCCCAGCTCCTGGAGAGTTTTTTGAGTGTGTGGCACACAGTGTATTTGACGAATTTCTTGAACGACTTCATCGTGGAAAAATGACCTGATTTTGTTCATTCTGTATCGGATCTGGAATTTTCGGAATACACTGATCGAGTCGAAATGCACATCGACTACAATAATAGCGTGTGAAGGCAAGATTATCTTTAAATGTAATTAATCCCATGATCCAACGGTCCGGTCACACTTCTTTCCGTGAGGGAAGAAAGTGTCTTTCCACATCATTCCCTTGTCTCGTAAAAACTCGACGTCCGCCATTATTACAAATATGTTCATGTACCTAGCTTGCAGTAATTGGAACTCAGCCGTGAGGATGCAAAACTATGTCACGCTCGCTAATCGCACGGAGAAAAGCACAAAAGAATCCGTCGCGTTCAAAACCTCGCAAGTAGAATTCCTCATGAGCCGTCAACGCCGTAAGAACACCCGGATCTCAGGGTTCATCGCGGACTCCACCAGTTGGATTCGAAACCCCGCCGATTCGGGAGGCGATTACGTGATTAATGCGGGGTCGCGCACAGACAGCGCCTGCAGTTCCGGGCTCCGCAACCCGCAGATCGCTCGATAGACATGCACCGACGCAATCGCCCACGATCAGTGTCGCGAGGCACTCGTTATCGATTCGTTGCTTGACATGCGGCTGACATGAGGGCACGACTACACGTTGAGATGAGCTCGGAAAGAATTTAATTGCACGGAAAATAGGGTTCATTGCAGAGTGTGTATACGCCCTTGTGTCAAGTAGGCGATGAATGGTTCAAACAGTTTCGTACTCGAGATTTTTACACCCCTTTTTTTCTACTTTTTGCCTTGACTTGGGGGCCATGACGCACAGAGGATCGAGTCAATAGGAGAGGTCGGACAAAATTTGGAAACTTTAAAAGCTCGTAACTCCGTTCATACAATTTGAGGTTCTAAAAGTGGTTCCCTTGATTTCCTCGTGACTATTAGAAAGTTCAAAAATTCTATTTGAAATTCAACCTGTGACGAAATAAACGTAAAAATTTGCAATTTTATTCAAAAATTTCATGTCCGGCCTTTCGAATTGACTCCATCCACAGTGCGACGTCGGTAACGAGGGCGAGACAAATTGTCGAAACTTTACTGAACTATATACATATATATATACACGAAATACCCACATATAAATATACACATAATTTACCCAGAAGTGAGGCAGTTTCCTCTTTCTTGAAGTTCATGATGCAATCGAAAACCTTGTAAATAGGATCTAAAATGTACATGATGAATGAACGCTTGTTGTCAGCATCCTTCTTCTTTGACCACTTCTTCGTTTTGGGGTTAAAGAAGTTCTCTCCCCACGACTTCTGCATGAGCTTGACAGTGTCAATTCCGAATTTTTCCGAGTACATCTCACCAAACTGTTTGAGGGTGAAGGCCCAACTGTGGAGACCAGATCCAAAACCAACACTACCTTTGCTAGGGTCAACACGGACTTCACCCATGGGACCACCATCATCATTGTAGGTAGCGATGATGACGTTCACGTTTTCGACAATACGCTGGAAAGTTTGGTAAAGATCTTCACTGTCAAGCTCAAGTTCTAACAAAGCACGGTCCATCTTGTTCATGAACAATACAGGCTTGATACGCTCAGCAATAGCCTGACGCAACACAGTTTCAGTCTGCACGCACACACCTGAGACACAGTCTACGACGACAAGAGCACCATCCGTCACACGGAGAGCTGCAGTTACTTCACTGGAGAAATCGACGTGCCCAGGAGAGTCAATCAAGTTGATTAAGAATCCTTTTTCTCCCTTATCACGCTGGTCAGGGTTGGTGATGAAGACTAAATCTTTGTCTTCAAGCTCAAAGAACATAGAGATGGCTGTTGATTTGATTGTGATACATCTTTCTTGTTCATCCTTACGGGTATCAGTGAAACGGGTTTCTCCAGCTTTGGCACTGGCAATGATGGCAATGATGTATTTTAAATAACCAAAATGCTATAAATTCTAGAACTGAGTTTGCTCACTTTGATATTTCATATTTTTCTAATCTCTGAAAACTTTCATTCTGTAAGAGTACCTACTACCTCTCTGCGGCGGGGGCTTATTGTTATTGTTTGTTGATGTTTGTCATGTCTCCTGTTATCGTTAAACTGGTCTCTTGCTGTGACTGGACTGGGTTTCTGTGTTTTTTCCTCGTTCAGTTCGTCTGCCCTGAAGATGGAGAAAATTGTCTCCGAAACGTCGGTGTAAAATGTAGTGTGAAGATTACAAAATGTAATAAAAAGGTTGGAAAGTACTCGTGATTTTTGTTTAATTATTAATTATTACAACCGTGAACTCTTTATCTTATCTTTATATATTATATATATATTATGTATTCAATTGATCCAAATGCTTCTTTCCAAAAACATTAAAATAAACATTTTTACAAGGAGTTTAGTTTCAAATCGATGTTACAGTTTGGTTCAGCCATGATCTAATATTCCTTCAGCACAGCCACTTGTTTTTTTCAAAGATATATTCAGAATACATCTCTGCTTATTGAATCAAAAAATAAAATAAAATAAATTCAAATTTTCATGTACCAATTTACGACCTTAAATCATAGGAAGCAAATTGCCGAAAGAAGTCAACTATGCCGAATTATTTACAGTTGCAAAGATAAAAAGCTGAACATTTTTGCTAGTTTGAAGCAGTTTTGTTGGTGCTAGTTTTCTTCCCATTGTTATCAGGGATGGTTCCATTAGTGGACTTTTTTGGAGGATGTGGACGGAACCCTCATGATTTTATTCTCGGCGAAGATTGTCGAGTCGAGCTTGCAGATCAGCGTCAGCATCATTGCCAGCAGGTGCTGCCACAGGTGTTTGGGCTCCAGCTGCGATGGAACCTGACGCCTGAGGTAATCCGGACAGGGTATCTGTCAACTGTAGTCCAAGTTCATCCAAAACTTGAGATACAATGGTGTCTGTTTCCTCTTCATCGTCTTCGTCTCCCATCGCATCGTCCATTGCATCATTCATGACTTCTTCCTTCATGTCCATGATCTCAGATTGTTTTTCAAATTCTTGTAAAATTCTTTGAATCTGTGGCAGATTCATTTGCCTGTTCATACTCTGCATAGCTTTGGTGACTCCTCTCATGGCATCTGCCATGGCATTTTGTGATCTTAAAGTTTGAACTTTCAAGGAAACAGCCTGGATGTTAGCCTTCATTAGCATGAATTTCTTTGCATAACGACGCGTTCTTACTAGATCTTTTGCCATAATTTTCACGGATTCCATTTGGCCTTCTTTGGCCATTTTTTTGATGTCCATTATGATTTTCTTTTCTTGCTGTTCCATATGAGCTTTTTCTCTGTCTAGATCACGCATTGCCTTGTTCAAAGCCCGTTGATTTTTCCTCAACATTTCTTCTGGTGTCATACGACGACCAAACAGCCATTCTAAAGGCATTTTGCTGTGGCTACTAGAGAAACCTTGATATAAAACTTGATGGGTGCAAATTGTTCAATCCAACCACAAAGAGCGAGGGAACTACCAAGTGGCCAGGAGAGGTAGGACGGGAAGACAATGAAACTAGAAAGAGTTTTGACACGGTCTTTATTATGGAAAGAATCCCAGTGGCAAACGACAGACAAAGACACTGACATCTTCACCGAACCACGGGGACGCCCACAGAAAGAAAAGGACGTTGATCCACGGACGATACAGAAACCCCAAGCTCACCCACAAAAATCGAATGAAAAGGAACCCACGCAAAAACAGAAACAGGAACAGCAACAACCCACGGAGAATGAAGTAAGTGATGATCGATACACGCCCAGTGACGCGCAACTGAGTACCGTACTCTCAAAATTGGAGGATTGGGGGGCGACGAATGTGAGAGATCCCAAACAATTATCGATAACCGAAAGACTGGCCGCTGCTAATGTAATAAAAGAAACTCTGACTTCCATGGAAGCATCAAGTGAGGACAAAGAGTCACCGAAAAAAATCGAGCGAAGGTGGAAAGAAAATTTGCTATCGAGGAATAAATAAAATATTTTAAAAACCAACCGAGCTTTGAAAGTTTTTCCGAGCTTTCGAGGTTAAGTAATTGTTCAAGTAATTGTGTTGTTGTTTGTTGTTATATATATATTATACCGTGCTAAGGAAAAATGCCGTATGAACATTCGAGAGTTGCCCAGTTTCCCTTAGTGAAACAATGATTTTTAACGGCATTCATGCACATTTTTCTTCGTACTTTTCAGATATTTTAGATAACATTCTGTACAAAATAGTCTGAAAAGTTCGGGGGAAAATGTCCACAAATTTCCCAATAAATTCGAAGTTTACTGAAGGAAACGTGGCAACGTCTGAGGGCTCGTACGGCGTTCTTTCTTAGCACGGCAGTGTCGCACAGGCCCAAGGAAGAAGGGTCTGCAAAGAGAATGAAAAATAAAACAAGCGAGAAAGCTCTAATACGTTCGTAAAAAATACAATGGATTTTACGATCACTGATTCCCTTGAATGAATTTTATGAATCTGTACTATATATTCACTCGAGGCTCGTTCGCCTCGATAGTTTAAGCTTTCATAAGTAATTCTATTTATTTATTTATTTATTTATTATTTTTACCATGTGACGTGTCGCGCCGCGATAAAATCTTCATGGTGTTTCAAGAAGACCTGAAGATGGATTAATTTCCGAAATGATCATAGTCTAATCACTCATCAACTCAGCTCATCGGGATAGAAAGGTAAATAAATTTCCGTAACAATGGAACCCGATAAGGATACCACTTTCGACCACAATATTGATACCCACAACTCTGTGCTTGAAGGTGGACAAACTCAAAATGAAATCAACAAAGATGTAGAAACGAGGAAGGAAGATTCAGGAGCTCCTGCGTTACACAACTCCTGGTCCGGTTTTTTACCTTCATACGCTCCATAATTGGACAACTACTGTGACGCGGGGGAGAGGCAATGGTAAAAGGAGTTGAAGGATGCAGGGGCTCCAAGAGATGCGCGTTACAGGAAGCATCGGCTCGGGCGGAATTGATAAATATTTTCACACAAAACGCCTAATTTATTTCTCGAGTGTGCTTGGGCATTGTAGCGCGACAACGCGACGGCGCGGCGGCCCAGACAGAGGCTAAGTGAGCATTAGCGCTCGGCTTCTTCACCGGTGACAGAACACCTCTTTCTCCCAGAGGTGACAGGGACAGGTCGATCCCTTAGAAAGCGGCGCCCTCAGAAGCTGTCCCCGCGACGTCGCACGGTGGATCGAGCCAATAGGAGAGGTCGGACAACATTTGGAAACTTTAAACGCTTATAACTCCGTTTGTACAAAACTTAGAGGTTCTAAGAGTGGTTCCATTGGTTTCTTCCTAAAATGGAGACGTTGTAGGTATAAGGAATTTTCAATTTGACTATTGATTCTTGTGTAGAAGTTCACGAGAAACACGATGGTGCCACTGATTTTCTCTAAAATCAACTCCCAAGCTCAAAAAAAGCTCTCACAGAGAGGCCAAAATGGAGGGGATATCCCACGCTACCCTGAGAGTCCGCCTCTACATCTGGCCAAACTCTCCATGCAAAGATAGGGAGCAAATACATTAGCAGGGTTGCCGTGTTTTCAGTTTTGAAGTCCCCAAATAAAGTGGCAGCCTTGTCACTATATTTGCTTCCTATCTTTGCATGGAGAGTTTGTCTTGATGTAGACGTGGACTCTCAGGATAGCGTGGGATATCCCCTCCATTTTAGCCTCAACTTGAGAGCTATTTCTGAGCTTGGGAGTGGATTTCAAAAAATTCCAGTGGCACCATCGTGTTTCTCGCCAACTTTTACTTACATATCAATAGTCAAATCGCAAATGGAGATGTTGAATGTGTGAGGAATTTGCGCTTAGACCATTAATTCTGATGTAAAAGTTCGCGAGGAACACGATGATGCCACTAGTTTACTCTGAAATCAACTCCCAAGCTCAAAAAAAGCTCTCAAAGTGAGGCCAAAATGGAGGGGATATCCCACCCTACCCTGAGAGTCCACCTCTACATCAAAACAAACTCTCCATGCAAAGATAGGGAGAAAATACATTAACAGGGTTGCCACTTTATTTGGGGACTCCCAGAGGGACTCCAAAACTGAAAATACGGCAACCCTGCTAATGTATGTGCTCCCTACCTTTGCATGAAGAGTTTTTTAATATGTAGACGTGGACTCTCAGGATAGGATGGGATATCCCCTCCATTTTAGCCTCAGCTTTGAGAGCTTTTTTTAGGTTTGGGAGTTGATTTCAGAGAAAACCAGTGGCACCATCGTGTTTCTCGCGAACTTTTACATAGTAATCAATGGTCAAATCGCAAATCCCTCACACATGCAAAATCTCCATTTTCTTCCAAGATCACCCCTTGAAATTGAAAATGTGACGAAACAAACATCAAAATTTGCAGTTTGAGTCAAAAATGTTGTGTCCGAGCTCTCCGATTGACTCGATCCACCGTGCGTCGTGTCTCCACCTCGTCTTTCATTCCGTCATCGAGTGCGCTTCATTTGCCTCCCGAGTTTTTCCCCCTTTTTTATCCCTTTCGATTTCATACCGACGGGTCGATTTTTGAATCGTTATCGAATGCTCTCGATCGATGGATCCCTATCTTTGCAATGCTTCAAATCGAACGAGATCATTCGATATAGATTCAACGATCGATTATCTTGATTTCGATAAAAGGCCCGCTTCATCCGGTCTCGAACCGGTCCTCGAGGGTGACTCCGAGATCAAAAGGGCTCTGCGGGTGACGCAAGTTCGGGTAGTGGCGAGGCGTGAATGATCGATTATCGATATTTCAACATTCAAGACTATGGTAAAATATCGATTAAGACGCTCATTACGAGCACCATTTTTATCGATCCTTTTCCATAGGTTTAAATGGCAGATAAATCGATTTATCGCACAGCATGCCACCCCATTTTGCGTCTTGTCGTCAGAAAAGACTGCGATTTAAAGTTCTTCGATTAGCGATTGATTGATCGAACGTTTTTGGATTCGATTAAAATTTCGATGCACTGGTTAATCGATTTTTCGATGCCGACTAGTCAAAAAGTATAAACGTGGTCAATTTTCGGCTTAAATTACCGGAAGGTCATATACAATTTCTCACGAATTTTCGTCACTTTCTGTCGGATATCGTCGTGTTCATTTGGTAGATTTCCTGACGTAGTTGCAGAGAGAAATTGGAAGAATATATCCTACTAACGAAACTCACAGCGAGGCTCAACTTTTTCTGAATCCGCCGCCTTTTCTAAGATGAAAAACGAAAGTTCATCTTTGATTACGAAAATGAGTGACAATTTTAGTCAAGCGTGTATTCTGATGCATCAAATGGAATTTACCTGCGCGAAATCCAAATGTGATCACTTGGGAGCATACCCTCGCCGGAGCCTCCGTGGGCCGGACACGAGATTGAACACTTTGTTTCTCATAATGTTCGTTCTCTTACTGAGTTGTACTACTCATACTACTACTGAGTCGTGGTGACCGGCAGGCCACGAGGCCATACCAAACTTCGTTTTCTTCTCTTGTGAGCTCTTGGGGGTAGGCATTGTGCACGCGATGGCCTACCCCACGCGTTTCCCTTTTTCAGCTTCCTTTGGTATATCATGTTGTTCAGAGCCTCGTCACGCTTCAAAGTCGAAATGCTTGATTTTCAAGTTTACAATGTCCCAATGCCTGACGTGAATTCTTGTTCCCGAAGTTCAGGTGCCGCCACCTGATGAAACACCTTTTGATTCAGCAGAAAACCGAAAGTTTAATCATAAATCTCAGTCCACTTTTGTAAGGTTCATGACAGAGTGTCCAGAATGATATCATCTGCTGCACCGAATACCAGGAATCCAAGTTCGCGAAATTTTCGAAATTCTAAAGCAAATGATATCATCGTCACTGAAGTTGAAATACTTGATTTTCAAGTTTACGATGTCCCAATGCCTGACGTGAATTCAACCGGAAACAACCCCGGTCCCTTGGTTCCCGAAGTTCAGGTGCCGCCACCTGGCGAAACACCTTTTGATTCAGCAGAAAACCGAAAGTTTAATCATAAATCTCAGTCCACTTTTGTAAGGTTCATGACAGAGTGTCCACAATGATATCATCTGCTACAGCGAGTACCAGGAGTCCAAGTTCGCGAAATTTTCGAAATTCTAAGGCAAATGATATCATCGTCGCTGAAGTCGAAGTACTTGATTTTCAAGTTTACGATGTCCCAGTGCCTGGCGTAAATTTAACCGAAAAGAACCCTGGCTCCTTTGTTCCCGAAGTTCAGGTGCCAAAAACACCTTTTGATTCAGCCGAAAACCGAAAGTTTAATCTTAAATCTCAGTCCACTTTTATAAGGTTCATGACAGAGTGCCCAGAATGATATTATCTGCTGCGCCGAGTACGAAGAGTCTAAGTCCGCGAAATTCTAAAACAAATGATATCATCGTCACCGAAGTCGAAATGCTTGATTTTCAAGTTAACGATTTCCCTGTGACTGACGTGCATTCGCCCAGGAACAACCCCGGCTCCTTTGTCGTTTAACGTTGTTAAACCCAACGTTTGACGAAGAAATTCAACGATTTGCAGCGCCCAGCTACTCAGGCATAAGACTGTTGTTTGTCTTACTCAACATGTATAGTATGCTCCATTGAATGTGGAAGAGTCCCTGTTGAGATGAGTGCTGTAGAGGGCTCAAAAGTGGAAGAGGCTTCATGGAAGTCCATGTAATGGGTGCCGTGAGTAAGGATGAGAGTGTAAAGATATACAACTTGCATGGAAAATTTGTCACTTTTAGAATATCATGGGGAGTAAGTAATAATTTTTAGGACAATAGAGCAAAAAGAAAAATGAAATAATCGAGCCATTAGTATGGTAAGATATGGTTGGTCCACATCTTCTTTCTTCATAATTTTCCCTGATTTCCCCCATCAATTGACGAACTTTTTTTAATACTGACAGTCATTTTTGAGCGGTGGACTATGTACCAAAAAGAAATTGGACACTTAGGTCCTTTGATTTAAAAAAAAAATGTACGTTCGTATGGTCAATCCTCCAGTTCTGGGGTCAATTTATC